GATATGATTTGATATGATAAATTTGATATGATAAATTTGAATGTGTAAAAACAGTGCTTCTGGAGTATTATAGCCATCTTGGCAATAATCATAACGGTTCTTAAATGCGCAAAAGTACATTTTTATTATATATGAACTTTTAAAAATTAAAAAGAAATATAAATATTTGGAATTGAAAATGGGCTCTTAGAAGCTAAAAAAATTCAATACGCTTATTCCTAACAAGTTCAACACGAGCCTTTGTCGTCGATAGTTATATATTTACAAAAGGCTTAGGCGCTACGAAAAAATAAATGTATGTATTTAAAAAAGATTCTCTAGAGTTACAAAAACAAATTTAGAAGATTTTGATTTTACCATGAAAAAACTTTGACTTACTCTAGGTTTATACTCAAGATTTAATGTAAGACCTTCAGTGTTATGAAAACAAAAAAACATGAATGTATTGAAAACAGATTCTGACTCAGTTACTATTAAAAACAATGTTTGCACTTTTAATTGCCGAAATTCAGAATAAATTAAGAAATAAAAAAGCTAATGTAACGAAAATAATTGCAGTGTTCAAAATTGCATGTGTACTTATAGTTTCGACTATAGTTCACTCATAAGACCCGTAACACACGTCGGCACTTTCTCCTTTTGTAAGTATAATTCATAAAAATACCTCTGAATAAACATCCACGTATTGTATGCTTCGGGTGGATATACTAGGTTCATAACATGTATGATTTTGAAACATGTATCTACTGCCGCCAGTATGCTGGTCAGTTTATACTCAATATTCTCGAATAGTACATAGAAGTCCTTTGCAGTCTGTAATGTTTCTCCTACTACGATCACACACGGTTGAATCGGTCGCATGAGTTTTTCATATTTCTTCTTTCTTTGTTCTAGAAAGATTTGCTTGCTCACGGAATCCTTAAAAGACAAAAAATTATCCATTAATACTAGAGTTAGTATTAGAGGAAACTTAAAGAATATTTTATTAGTTGATAATGTTGCTTACTGTGGTATGTAGAACAAACGTTTCTTGAGCTTCTGCTATTGTCGGTTTCCATGATTTTTTATCCTTTTCTCGAATTATTGCTGGCGGTAGCAATGTTGGTAACAAGTGCATTACAACAACGTCTTTGCCATCTGTACGTAAACCATTATGTAATTTATGTAATATAATTATACACAATGTATTAATTACCTTCTGATATCGTAGAAGGAAGAGTATTCAAAATCTTATGTGCCATCGACTGTTTGTCTTTTTTTGAACGCTCTTTCATAATATTCATGAGCTTATTTCTGCAACTAGACCACCCGTTTAAAAGCTTAGGTCCTTTATCCGGAAACAAAACAGTAAAATCGATCGAAATCTGTAAAGTCATTTTAAGAACGTGAATTTAGAAAATAATGACATTTTAGAAATCATACGAATTTTTCATAATTTAATTTTTTAAAATCTCGTTTTTTAAAACCTATCTATTTTAAGTCAAATAAGTAGAGAAAATATCTAAGATGTGTATCGTACCAAAGAATATCCTAATGGATGTTTAAATAGTGGCCACTCCGTCAGAATATTAGTTATCAGAAGATCTTTGCCTTTGGTGAGCTGGAGAATTCGATTTGGTGCTGTTATTGTCCAGCACTCCAATACTTCCGTCCATGGTTCTGCGTAGCTCTTAAGCCACACTTGTGATTCCAGAAACTGTTGCTCAGGCAGTACTACAATAAATTAGTGTTGAAGAAATAATATACAACTATTCTCAAATTGTTGTACATACGTACTGACTAAGCATAGATGTAAGTAAAAGGCATGCACTTGAGTATAATTCATAATATGTATTATAAAATATTATACTTACAATTTTTAATTGTGATATCATGGGAGGAAATCTGGCTTGAAGATATTGATTTAATTACTACACCTTTTTCCTTCATAGAAGTCTTGAGGTTTCTATGCTTGTAAGGTAATTTTCCTTTTGACACATTTTGTTTAACACCTTCTGTATACGGCGGTACATAGTATGCTTCCTGATTTAGGAATCAATACCACTTAGTTCATGAGTCAATGGAACAGAATTTATGACAAATAAAGAAATCGTACGTACTGAATATTCCGTTGGAAATACTTTGACAATCAATTCCGCCACAATCTTAAAATGCGAATTTTTTAAGTCGCGTCCATACACGATCACCAAATGATCTACGATTATGGATGTTAATTTTCGACGCACGGCTTCAGTGAGTTTTCCATTATTTTCAAAAGTCATCAGCGCAATTCATCCATCACTACACGTTGTTAAGAAAGCTTCCAACTCCTTTTAAAGTCAATAGTACATTAGAGTTATAAGTACATTAAAATAAAGGCAAATACTGAAAACTGATTTTTTAATTAATAATATAGTACTACAGAAGACAATAATGGCGTTGAAAGTAATGGCCATTATAAAATTTTACACTTTACAATTGCAATTTTTAATCCGGTTTTTAAGATTATACTATATATTATATAAAAACTTTTAGAAACAAATATGAAAAGAGTAGATATCGTACAAAATTTAGAAGAAAATTTAATTTAAGAAAAATTTATTATGAAATTTCAGTAAGAAAAGATAATAAATATCAATATGGTTAGGTATATAAATATCAAAGATAACAAATATCAATATGGTACCTCTTTAGATTCTAATTTATTACTGACGATCCCCGAAGTATTGATTTCAATTTTCGATGTCGAAGGGGTTTACTTGAACTGAACTCATTTCTTTCGAGCTTGATTTTTTGTATGGTTGAGATTGTACAAGTTCTTCACGTTTTTCACCCGTGTTATTTATCGTCGACAATTCAGCATTATCGCCCTGATTATTAAAAAGCTCAAAGCTTTCATCCTCTTGTAGAGCGGATAGACTTCCTAATTCCGTTTCAATTAACACTTTTGATTCGTCAGAGCATGCACTCGAGCTTTGCAATTCGTAATTTGTCAAAATATTTTTATGTGTCTCTCAGCCGCCATTGGCTGACCCCCCTCCCTCCGACTACCCCGCCCTCTGACTACCCCCCCCTTCCCCCCAAGAAGGAGTATAAAAGGACGAGCGCAACGCGAGGGAGCTCAGTATCAGAGTCTCCCAGCCCTGATGATGCAGACTGCAACGCCTGCGAAACGTCGGCACCACACTGCAAACGGACGCGGCAACCATCCGGAAGCCATGAAGACTAAAGAAGACAACAGCCGCGAAAGCCTGAAAGCCAAGATTTTTATGTGTATCCAAAACTTCAATTATGCATTCAGTATTGTTAGGAATCGTCTGTGCATTATTTTCGATTGAAACCTGGATGAAAATATCACGTGATTAATGAAAACAGTCATAAGCCTCGAAAAGTGCGATTTCAGTAACAAAAGGATGTATGTATTATATATCGAAAAGAATTTCTTTTTTTTACTAATTGGTGATTAGTATTTATAGTGCGTTCGTATATCTAATTGTAAGCGTTTTAAGTATGATTTTCAAACGTTATGAACCAATCACAAAACTGTATTGGTTATACATATGTATGTACCACTGGTATAAGATTTATTTAAAAAGATCAAAAAGGTTATCATAAATACATAACCCTTTTCAACGTTACCAGAGAAAAAAAGCAATAATTTGAAGAGAAACTATATAAACTTACATTAGCTTTGTGAGCTTGGACAGCTTTCTTAAATCGTAATTGATCACCGATTGGGGCAATTAATAACGGGAGAACATCCGCCGTAATTTCGTCAAGTTGATTAATTCCAATCTTGTTTTCTGCAATTTACATTTTATGTCCTAATATGTCAAAAATTAATTGTTTGTTTGGATAAGGACAAAGACGAGATGAAACGTTTCGCGTTCATTATAATCAACATATTGTACACATTATAAACAATTACATTACTATTTCTCATATCAATATATTTTTTCAAATGTCTGTATATTCATCTAACAATAAGCCTGATCAACCATAATGTTTTTAAATAGACGTATGTGTAGCAAAAACATGTGTTAATAGAGTGTCAGTTGTTCATCGCAGCACGTATGTATATTTCGTACATAAAATTTACAATGTACTTACGTACGAAAATTTCTGTGTAACTCTCCAAGCTCGAATTTTGTAAAAATCTCACTATTTCGTCATCCATTTTTAACTTAAACACTTTTAAAATAAAAGAAAAATCTTTTTTAAAGTGAAACTCTCGAGAAAAATTGCACGTATATAATACTGTAAGTATCCAAGTTATGCTGGTAAAGACGTACCTTTATCAAATGCGTTTCTTCAAAGAAAGATTAACACGTCGATACACTGCACAAGAGTCTGCCGATTTCACACGTGACGACAAGCTTCAGATTTTAGCTCTTTCAACGAAATATCTTCTAGTCGTTGTTTCCATATAGTTCTATTATCGTAAGTTATTCTATCAAACACTCGGATCAAATACCGAAATGGCGAGAAGTCCGCGAAACTCACAACACGATAATATGACTAGTGCACGATATGCGACAGGGCAATTGGAAAACCCTTAGAAACACGCGCGACATGTATGGACATGACAATGTTGCGTCACCGGCAAGCACATGAAAAAGATATGGCAGCGAAACATTTGCGCAAGCTAGATGCCGCGCATGCATGTCACGCAGTCCACATGATGGCAGTGATCACGACGCCACAGAATAGAAACATCTTTTTTCTTTTTTTTTACGTGTGGAAATCCTTTATGGATACCCGAGCCCCCCTCCGGGAAGGGAGTTTACATTAAGTGGCCCGGGTTATGTGGGACTGCCCCCCTAATGGCGATCGGGTGCGGCCGCTGACATTGCGACCGCTGGGCTTACCGCACTAAAACCACACGGTGGACTGCGCTATGCTTTACTTGGGGGACGCCCAGGACTTGGCAGAGCCATTACTTCTGGACGCCCCCCGCACCGGCCCGCCGTTTGATGGGCGGGCCGCTGCGCTCCCTC